CCCACCACTGAGGTTCTCACGGATGGCCCTTTCCCAGGCTGTCCCTGCTCAGCCTGCCTGTGGATCACCCACTTTTCTCCTTAAGTGTCTCCTGCCTGTCTGTGCTGACACAGCCCTCCCCACCTCCTTCCTCATCCTTCCTCCTCCTCAATTGCTCCTCTTTCTCTTGGACTTATCTCGGCCTGTGGACCTTCTCATGCATCTTGGCTCACCCCACACCCTGAGGACACCTTAGGGGTATTTGATGCCTTATTGTCCAGGTGTCTCAAACCTGAGCCCCTTGTCATCTTCCCCCTTGTAAGGGAAAAGCTTTCTCTGTTCTTCTCTCTCTGGCTATTATTCCGTCTCCCAGCCCAGGATCCTGGGAGTCACTTCACACTATTTTCTCTCCCTTCCTTGCTTACCCGTGAATAGTCACTGAATTTTGTTGTTATTCCCCTGGAGGTATCTGCGCCTACCCATTTCTCTCCCCTTGTACAGCTGCACGGCTGGGCCCTCCACCTCCAGCCTCCTGGGCTGCTCCCAGTCTGAGGTCATGGCCAGATGAGTCTACAGTACCACATTCATTCCTTCATTCCCATGCTAACCTGTCAGTGATGCTTCCCTCTTGTTCCCTGCACTGGGCCAGATCCTGGAGCCAGTCTTTCAAGACCCCAGCCTGGCTCCTCTGCCTTCTCTCCCCATGCTCCAACCCAGGCAAGCCTCACTACACTGTGATCAGTCTGGTTTCATGGGCTTTTCTGGACCCTCCCCCAAGAGTCCAGCTGCTGTGGACTCATCTGACAACATGCTGGTGGCAAATGACCCCTGCAAAGATCAGGAGTTCTGTAACAAGTGTCATTTGTCATGTTTATGGGCAAACACTGCCTGAGGGCTTCAAATGGGCCAGGCCCTGTGCTGTACCCTGTGTCTTCCAGAGCTCTTAATCTTGGGGCTGGGAGTGAGGGTAGGTAGAGATGAACCCTTACTGAGGCTTTGAAACCAGGCTGTCTGGGAGGTGCCCAGTCTGTATCCCAGCTTCTATCTGCTGGTGGTTTTAAAGCAAAGTAAATACACTCAGCACATTTTGGGTTGAGCTTAAGTTCTCTGCTGTGTGACACTCAACACTGGGCCAGAGGCTTTGGTGGCTGGCTGGAGAGTGGTTTGTTTAATCTCAGGTGGCCTGTGGTTAGATGACCTGAGGGATTGACTGGGTTTTGTAGGAAGGAAGCTGAGGTTATGCCACAAGCCTTGGGCTCTGTGGATTTTATTCTAGACACTTTGCTGTGACTACGGCTCAGCTACACACCATGCTGCCTGGGCAGGCGATTGCTAGCCTCACCCTTGCTCCTGTCTGCCCTTCTCCTGAGTGCCAGTGTACAGGGGCCTGCCTGTCTCTGGAGGCGCAGGCATATAGGTCAGAGTTCAGAGGCCCTGGGCCAGGGCAGTTGTTTTTCTTGACTGGTCAGATTATTTAGGGATTAAAAACAGCAGAGAGTCTGTGTTGTTCTAACTGCTTATTCCCTCCCCCCTTTAATCATGTGCTTTGAGCGGTGGACTTTCTAGTCTGAAGTCCACTGCTCACTGGGGAAGGTAGGATAATATATAATAACAATGTTCAGTATACTTTTTGGTGAGCATTTAAGCTGGTCTGCATAAGGGCGTTGGGTCCTTGGGTGTTACATGCAGCTCTAGAATTAAGAAGGTAGAGTGAAGGGTAAAATGAAGGGGAAATAAGTCCTTGACTTACCCCTTGATGGCTTTACTCTGGGGAGAAGGAAGCTTTGAACTCCAATGGCAGATTATATTTAGAAACACTACAATATGGTCATGTTGCGCTCTTATAGTTTGCTGAGATGGAAATTTGTGTTATATATTATGGTAACTGATACTATCAGAGTGCTTTATGATTTATAAGCACGTTCAATAAGTGATCCTATTTCATCCTCACAATGGTCCCATAAGGCTGGTATTATCTTTTCCATGTCAGACATGAGTCACCACCAAGCCTCTAAAAGGTTGAGTGATGTTGCCAGGCATTTTAGCTATCGAGTGGTAGAGCTCAGATTCAACTCAAGACTTTTGGGTGCAAAGAGGCAGTGGGCTGAGAAGGTGGTGGTGGGCGATTTCAAATTAGAGAGACTGTAATTCAGATCGTGGCTTTCCTTATTAGCTGTGTAGCTTTGGTCTGATTATTTTTCTTTTTTAACTTTTTTCTGGCAGAAATCAAAATTCCTCAGTATGATCAAGCCAAGTGTATTGAATAATCTACAGTTGCTTCTTTGTATTGACCACATTCCTCCATTCCACCTCTATTCTTGTTCCATTCGGGTTTGGTTGCTCTGAAGGCTGCTGAAAAATTGCTGTCCTGGGCCGCCTTTTCCCAGTCAGCATGGTAATTCTGTTTGACACCTCCTTCTGTTGGCGCCTTTCTCTCCAAGCTTCCATGTCTCCCTCATTTTTCTCTTCTTGTTTTAATAGACATGGGTTCCAGTATTTCTTGAGAAAGGGTATATTGGTGGTAATTTTTGTACATCTGATATCTTTAGTCTGTTCTAGTAAATGTAGTCTCATGATCCATGGCTAGTTTGGCTGGTAATATAATTCTGTAATTCCATTTGGAAATCGTGTTCTTTGAAGAGTGCTTCTTTGTCCTCTGCTGGGCTAATGAGCAGTTTTATGCCAGTTCTGACTCTTGATCTTTTGTATGTGATGTTTTTTCCTCTTTGAAATTTTTGGAAACTCCCTCTTTGTCAACAGTGTTCTGAAAGTTTTCTCTGATGTGCTTTAGTGAGAGTCTTTTTTTCATTCATGATGCTGGGCCCTCTCAACTCATATCCTTCGTTTCTGGGACATTTTCTTGAATTTTAGATAATTTCTTTTCCTCTGTATTTTTCTTTTTCTAGAGTTCCTTTAAATTTAGGTCTTGCACTTAATGGGTCCATTTTCTTAATTTTCTTATCTCACATCCCTTTTTATTTCCTTATCTTTCTGTTTTATGTTCTAGGATTTTTTTTTAAATTTTATTTCCAATGCTAAGTATTTCTATGATATTGCTTTGGAAGAGTTTTTCTTGATTCTTTTTGAGTACTTCTTTTTCATAGCATTCTATTCTTATTCTATGGGTGTGCTGTTTTATTTCTAAGAGAACAATTATAATTTTGTTGTTTTCTTCTGAGTTCCGTCTTTGCATTGGTTTGTTTGGGTCTCTGTCTTTTGTGTTGAGATCGAAGATACCTGGTAACTTTGGTTATCCAGCTGCATTGACGAGCAGGGCACTGGTGTGTGGATCTGTGGCTCTGTGAGTGTGAGGAGGGAGTGCTTGTTCACTGGGAGAGCCTCACAGTGGAGATTTGAGCAGGAACTCAATTGTTTCATTGGAAAATCTGCAAATCACTGTCTTCAGGTCATTTTTTTTGTGCTCCTCAGTTTCCCCAGAGAAAATTCTCTAGTTTCTTGCCTAAGGAATAGCACTGACAGGCAGCATTCCGAAAAAGCAAAGGGAGAGGCTGAGGGCTGGGCACTCTCAGCAGTGGGTGATCTCCAGGTTCAGTTTGTGGACAGGCCCCTAGTCCCCTTGTTTTCTTGGAGGGCCGTCTTCCCACCCTCTGCCTGGTCTCCAGCGGGACTCCTCTTATTCATTCTCTCTGTATAGTAACCCACTTGTCTTCTGCCTGGCGGACAAAGGGCTATTGCCCAGCTGCACAGGCTGGATGAAGGAATCTGTTTTGTCTGCTCCTTATTCAGGCTTTTATCGTTGAGCCCCTTCCCACCGCTTTCAGCACGCTCTTCATTGTGCCTGCAGAGATGCCTGGTACCTCTAGTTCCTAAAGTTCTCCAGGTTTCTCTGGGGGAGAATCAGCTGATTTCTTGTTGGCTGGCCTCCTGAGATCACTTGGCTGAGTGAGAAAAGCTAAAACCCTCTCACCCATCCATTTCCACCCTAAAAGTTAAGGGATGATTTTATTTCTCTGTGTATTTTACGCTTTGATGCTTCTGGATGTGATGGCGTTTTCATGTTCTCCCGGTGTATGGCATGTGGCGTAGCATGTAGAACAGCTGGTGACCTCTCAGGGGGCTCTTGGTTGATGGGTAATAATACAGAATGCTTGTATAGTCATCCCTTGGGGCCCATGAGGGATTGGTTCTAGGAGCACCACGTCCAGGATATCAAAGATGGAAACTCAAGTCTTATATATAAAATGGCATAGTACTTGCATATAACTATGTATGTCTTCCCATATACTTTAAATCCTCTTCAGATTATTTCTAATACCTAATTCAATGCAGCTGTATACTATATTTTTAAATGTATATTTATTTTTTCTTGAGACAGAATCTCACTTCATTGCCCTCAATAGAGTGCAGTGGTGTCATAGCTCACAGCAACCTCAAACTCTTGGGCTCAAGTGATCTTCTTTCTCAGTTTTTAACTTTTAGTAAAGATGGGGTCTCACTCTTGCTCAGGCTGGTCTTGAACTACTGCAATGTGCCCACCTTGGCCTCCCAGAGTGCTAGGATTACAGGCATAAGCCATTGTGCGTGGCCTTAAGTGTATGTTATTTTTAATTGTATTTTTTCTTAATATTTGTAGTCCGTGGTTGTTTTAACCCACAGATGTGGAAGGCTGACTATATGCATATGCAGTCCATACAGCCTGATGATCCTAGCACTCTGAGAGGCTGAGGTGGGAGGACTACTTGAGACCAGGAGTTCAAGATCAGCCTGAGCAAGAATGATAGCCCAGGATTTTGAGGTTATGGTGAGCTAGGATGATGCCACTGCACTGTACCCACTGTGACAAAAACAAAAAACACATGGATAGGAAGGGTAAATTGGAGCCAGGGAGTGGCTGGGAGGTGTCCCTGGAGGTGAAGAGGTAGATGTGGTGCTGTGAGAAGTGTTAGTTTGCCCTTATCCCCTGGGGAAGTGGCATCTGCTCTGGGCATGACATCGGGGCTTCCATTTCTTCCCTGGGCAGTGAGGCTGGGGCTCATAGTCTTTGGCTCTTTGATCCCCAGGTGGTCCTGCCAACTCGGCTGTCCTCTACGAAGGTCTCCTCACTCATCGAGAGAATCTCTGACCCCAAGGACTTGAAAAAACTTCTCAGAACCCGGAATAATGTACTGGTACTTTACTCCAAATCTGGTGAGTACCCTCTCCTGGCCTTGGGGTCCTGCATCAGGGTGGAACGGATGGAAGGGAAAGGGTGGGGTAGAGGAGTAAAGCCACCCAGGGAGGGTCCACTCCCCAGAAGATAGAGGCTCGGATGACAGAGGCAACCTTTTCTGGATCCCCAAGGGTCATTTCAGTTCCCTTTCATGAGTATTTTTAGGGAAAGTCCTCTGGAGAGGCCATGTATGAAGGAGGACAGAGGATCATGAGGGGACACCCGACCTGTCTTCCTGCAGGCATAAGGCCTCGCATCACCAGAGCTGTTGATTAACTGGCTGAGCTGGCCTGTGTCAGCTGAATTGGTCTCAGGTTTGGGGGCACTCACGCAGACTGGCAGCCCTGGCCCTGCCTGGCCCATCTGTGCTGCACTGGGGTCAAAAGCAAGACTGCATCTGGAGTGGGCTCTGCACTTGGGACATGGCAGCTTTGCTGGGGGCAGGAGCAGTGGCCTCCCTCTTCTGACCTTGAGTCTGGTGAGGGCATAGCACACGGAGAGAGACTTGCTTGGCTCTTGGCAGAAACCTCAGTGAAGGGCAAACGGCTGACTCTGTTGAAGTTGTTCCAGGAGAGTTAAGTGTTTTTTGCTGCTTCTAAGGATGCCAAGTTTTCTGTGGCCCTGGAGAAGCAGCAGCCAGTGGCTGGGCCAGTTCCGGGCACAGCTCTCCCTAGCAGCTCAGCTTTGACACTCATTGGCACTTTGGGCTGATGGATGCTTTGGACGTGTGTCCCTCCTGAAGCCTGCGTCCTCCAGGCATCCCTGGCACATGGCTGTTTTCGTTGCCGCTTAATGCTCCTTCCCCTCTGGAGAGTCTGGCACACAGTCCCGAGTGTGCTGTTGGGAGCCCAGCATGTGACTTCTACTTCTCTGCTGTCAAGACTGGGGGAGAAACTGAGGCAGTGAGAAGCACTGTGCCTCTGGAAGCCTGGGGCATTGGCCCTGAGCAAATGTGACTCACTCCCTCAGATAGTCCTAGAGCCGGGGTGGTTGTCAGTGAAGGGATACGCTCCGTTTCCCCACCAGGGTAGATCCCGTAGTACAAGCTCATCATCTCAGAAGATGGTTCTGCAAGGTTCATTTATGATATGGTCTCATTTGCTGCCTTGCCACGAGGGAGGCGGTACAGGTTGTCAGATAACATCCAGTTTACAAATGAGGAAATGGAAGCTGAGAATAACTGACTCGCTTGAGGCCTGCCAGCTAGTAGGTGGTAGAGCTGGTAGACCTGGTCTCCTGAGCCCCCCAGCCTCTCATTTCCTGTGATGGGGGCTAGGAAGAAACATATTGATTCTGCAGTGACAGAGGGGCTGAGGCCGGGAAGTCATTATGGGAAGCTAGAGAGGGGAGGTGGGCTCTGCTGGTTGCTTGCAGGCAGGAGGCAGGGCTTGAGTGCTCCTGCCATGGGTAACAACTGTCTCCAGTCATTGGGCGATCCTTTTACCTTCCTGCCTCTTTGCCCACGCCAGTTGCATCAGATTTGAGACCTTCATTGGGTTTTCTGAGCAGAAACTGGATTTTCTTGCCTCCCACCCTCTCTGCTGCTGAGAGGCAGGCTGGGTCGAGGTACTTGATGTTGCTCTGCTTTGTTTATCCCTCTCCCCCTGCCCAGCTCCTCAGCCTAGTCAGAAGGGTGGGACAGTGGCTACCCCCACCCTCCCTGCAGTGTCCAGCCTTCCTCCTGTTGCCCTGGCCATGGTTTCCTGGGAGTGCCTCCTCCGAGTGACTCTGTGCATGTCTCTTGAACGATGCTTTTTGTTCGCTTTGGTGAAAGGCTCAGCATGCTCTGTATTCACAAACAGCTACCATTATCTACACTAGAAGAGGACGTCCATGGGGGCACATAATTCAGACATGTGGCTTTGGTGGGAGAAGGCAGCAGCTCGCTCTCCCCACTGGTGTCCGCCTGAAGGCTGTTAGAGTGAGCTCACAGGTGTTACCTGGGAGAAGGTGATTGATGAGTCTGCTAATTTAGGAGTCTGCTAGCCACAGGTGTCACAAACTGGCCTCAGCCACTCTATAGTGGATCCTTGCAGGCTAGCTGTGTTGAAGTCCTGGCCACAGAGGCTCTGTCCCCAAGGTGTACATGTATCCACATGCTTTGCCCAACCCACAGGGATTGACGTTTGCACCAATGAGAAACTCTTTCTTTCTCGTGTCCACTCCATCCTGCCCTGAGGCATAGTGCACATTCCTGCAGCTTACCTCAGAGCTGCTGCCAGGGCTGGCTCTTGCCTTGTGGCTTCTGGGTAGATAGGCTGTGAGATGTGGCCTAGGTATACTTGCCATCGGCCCATCAGAGACCGGTGTCATGTACAGAGCTCCTAGATAAGTGTGTGCAGCACAAGTAGAGGTAGGATCTGGACCAGCTCTTGTCATGAGCACCAGGGCACATGAACTCCATAGATTATAATTTTTTGTGGGTGAAATTTTCAAAGTTTGTCCCAGTAAGGTATGAGTCAGAGGTTCTACTGGACTTGAGGGTCTGGCTCATTCTTGGAAGGGTGAGGTCTGAGCTATAGGATGCCATATCTTAAGGAGGGCCCCGGAGGGTGGTGGGATCAGGGCCTGTGAGAAGAGCCTGGGTGTTCTTCCTGTACTGGCACTGCAGGAATAGGTGTTTTAACTGGTGCTCAAGACTTCTGCACCCCCTATAGGACTGGGCTCTATCCTTCCTCCCCTTTGGGTGCAGATGTTTATTTTTATTTATTTATTTATTTATTTTTTTACAGAGGCAGCAGCTGAAAATCATCTCAGGTTATTGTCCACTGTGGCCCAGGCAGTGAAAGGACAAGGCACTGTCTGCTGGGTAGACTGTGGGTATGTGCTGGGGGCACAGGGCACAGTGGCTGGTGGGCAGGGGGCACTTGGGCTTTGGTGGGTGGTGTAGGCAATTGTCCCTTGGTGAATTCTCTGGGAGAGAAGATGTGATGGAGAGACCAACTCCGCTGCCCCAGTGACACTTCAAGGTCCCCCGTGGATTGGAAAAGGGGAGGTCTGGCTTTTCCTTTCGTTCTTTCCAGCTTCAGCCACCTCTCTTCTCTTCTTCCATAGAGCTTTCACTTTCTACATTTCACCATGTTGATTCGTCTTCCTTGAGGGAAGTGGGCAGTGGAGGAGGCCTCTCTGTTATTTAGAAGTGGGCCTTGATGCCCAGAGAGGCAGAGTGATTTTTAGAGTCAACCGGTGGATTTGCTTGTGGTGGACCTGCAGCAAGGATCATGAGCTTCACCTCCAACCCAGGTCATTACTGCTGGACATCCCTGCTGCCCGCAGAGCAAAGGTGATGGGAACAGCTGGTCAACCTGACTCTGCCTTGGCCTCTGAGGTGGCTCAGGCCTGTAAAGGTCTTTGGTCCTTATCATGTAGCTATACTTGTCCGGATCACAAGTTCTGCTCCTCTCTTGTGGGTTAAATGAACTTTTCCAGGTTAAGTGAACTTTTCCTGCTCTAGTTTAATCCTCTTCCTGTTCAATCTAAGTTCTAACCGGCTATTTTGCAAATTAATTTTAGTTATACAACTGATTTATAAGATGACCTCAAGCTTATTCTGCTTATGATTGAAGAGAATTGAAGAAGATTTGTATTTTGACAAAGCAGAGTGAGACTAGGAGAATAAATCTTAGCCAGGTGGTGTGTGCTGTTGGGGTGTGTGTCTGTGTCTCTGTGGCTGGCCTCATAACTCCAGATTCATCCAGATACTAACTGAACAGAAAGCATTGCTCACTGGGTGGCTGGGGAGATGTTAGCCTTTGGTTATTTCAAGTTCATAACTGGTCTAAAAGTGTTCTTATCCCCTAGGATAAGATCCCCTAGGATCTCTCTGTCTCTGATATTTTACCAGCAGAGCTCTGTGTGACTGACAGAGTGACAAAGCCTATTAGATGGGACAAGGCACTGTGGGATTTCCCTATCTAAAGATGACAACAGTTCTGCCCAGCTGATGGAGCCACCTTGTAGGGGTTTCTTAAGAGGCTTATAGTGGCAGAAATGGGCAAGATGTAGTTGCTACCTTCACCTGGGTCCTTTCAACAGCCATTGTCAAGCATTTACTCTGTGCTTTGAGACTATCCAGAGGAGTAACTGCTTCTTCTGAGAGCTCAGTGTACAAGGGGGACACAGACCCATGGCCAAGGGATTAGAACGCCTGGTGAAACGTGCTGTAGACACAGGCTATGTGTACAGAGGGAGAGTCAGGGGAGAGTCTCTGCTTGATAAGGTTAAGAAAAGCTTCACAGAGGCAGTAAAGTTCAGATTGGATACAAAGACCTCAGACCGTAGTACCAGGCATTCCAAGTGGCCTGGCTGTTCCTGAAGTGTGGCTCTGGAGCACTGCCTGTGGAGGCAAAAGGCCCACTCCACTTCCCATATGTGCTGGAGAATACCCAGAGCAGGACTCTCTGAAATGGGGACTGGATAGGATGCGCGGACAGACTACAGAGATTAGAATTCAGGACTCAGAGTTTGCATACATGATATCCTGAGTCAATAAAAGTGTCAGGGGGGAAATCCTGTGAATTTCAAATGGTAGGATTAAAATTGGGCAGGGAAGCACCTTAGAGGTTAAAAGAGGTAACCTTAAGTTGAAGGGATGGACTATTGCATGTAGTGGCATCAATTTATTGAATTTATCCCTGTAAAAAGAAGTATAACCTGAAATGTTAAATAGGTTTTAAAATACTTTAGGTAAGTAGGTAGATTATGGAGCCAAAGTGGATTATGTTGAAAGCAGAAATATCTGGGGCTGAGGTTGATAATAGAGGCAGGTGCAACTAAATCTTACCAGAGCAGCCCAAGGGACAGGACTCTAGGCTCTGGTCCATGCAGGCCACCCTAGGTGGCAGTTCTCACGGAGCACTGTTAGACCTGGAGATCCCCAGGGGCACGAGTGGGGCTTTGCCCTTCAATTCATCCTCTCTCACTGTTGGACTTCTGAACTTGCCCTGTAACTCACCGGGGCATGGGGAACCTTCGTGTTAATGCCACAGGCCCTTTGATGACAGCTCTTGTTGGTGTCCCGAGTGCATCCAGTTTATGTCTGTGGATCTATGAATGATAGCCTCCCGGGGATGGGCAGCAGTGCTGTTGGGAGCACTTTTTGGTGCTGTCTGTGGAAGAGTGAGCAGGTGGTACAGAGCCATGCTGCTGTCTTTATCCCCACTGCTGTCAAGCAGCAGATGGTCAGCCAGAGCTTATCTCCCTTTGGGTGGGCCCCACTGAGGTTCCCATCTCTCATCCTTTCTAGCTCCACTTTTGCAAAGTGTTGGTGGCCAGAATGTGGATAGGATTTGGGGTGGGTGACTGGGAAGGTCAGTCGTGGACAAGCCACTCTGCTTTTCTCTTTGAAGGGCAGGTGAGGGGAGCAGGAAGCATCTGGGGTAAGATTTGTTAGTGTGTGGGCTAAGTGGCAGGCTTTGGACTTGGAGGATGCCGTGGATAAAGGTCGGCTCTCCTAACTGGCCCTGTGACTTTGGATAAATTAGTTTCCTCAGCTGTAAAATGGGACAGTGGTACACATTCTGCCTTCTTCCCAGGTCTGGGATGAGGATTAAGTAAATGAAAGTTTTTTTTCTAGAATAGGAAACACAACTTAAACATGAGAGTCCGTGCTACTGTTGTTGTTGCCCACTGGGCAGGAACGTTCAGGAAGAAGTGGGAGGGGTAGAAATGGTGTATTTGTTCATTTAACAACTGTTTGTGGGGTGAGGACCCCTTAGTTCTTCTGGGGATAACCTTGGCCCTTCTGGGGATAAACTTGGCCATGGGAGTCAGCCCCAGCCCATGAAGTGTTTTGTTCTGCCCCTTAAGAAGTAGGCGGTGCAGTGGGATTTGCAGGACTGCAGGTCAGGGGCCTGGCCGTGGGTCCAGGCTCAGATGTTAATAGGTGTGAGGCCTTCGGCAAGTCACTGGCCCTCTCTGTGCTGCAGTTTAATCTGTGAAATGTGGAGTTGAATCTTCCAAGTCGCTCTCATCCCTAAATAGCCTGTTTGAGAAAATGCTGGAAGCTGCCAGCCTTGCTGTTGCATGTGCCTTCAGTCTGTGTGTGTGCGTGTGTAGGGGGTGAGGGTCCTTTTCTTTTTGTGGCCCTCCCTCCTTATTCTGGCTATCTCCTCTTCTTCCCCTCTGAGGGCCTTCCCTTTCTATCCCTTTTTTCTCCACCCTTGCTAGGTTTCTGTTGCCTTTCCCTCCTGAATCCCTGCTTTTCTGCTTCTTTTGGCCTCTCTCCCCTCTCTCTGTCTCCATAGATATTTCTTTTCTCCCTTCCTCTTACCCTTCTGGCTCTTCCTGTGTGTGCACCTGTAGGAGCATGCTTGCCCCTCTCCCTGGGCTTTCTCCCTGCTCCCAAGCTCTGCGACTTGTTGCTGTGCCGTGTCTGGAGAGGGTCTGGCTTCTGTCCAGGGTTTTGTCAGTTCTCCCTCCCCTCACTCTACCTCCTGGCTCAGACATTAGCAGC